AATATTTCGAGTTTGTCCAAACTATCATCAAAATATCAACTTTCCATGAATTGAGAGTACTGATGTACTTAATTTCAATTAAGGCTATGTTTTGGACCATATTTAGCACAATTTATTTTTTATCTCGAAAACAGATAGAGATAGATAGGACATTATCGACAAAAAAGTATCAAAATACTAGAGCAATTCCAAAAATATATTAATATATGGGGTGTTTTATTTAAAAAAATAAAGTTGCTAGGGCTTTTTGATGGAAGTGGCAACGCCGAAATGCTCAAAATATTTTAGATCGATAGAACAGGTAAGGAAATGTGAGAGGTGAAATTTTCAGAAAAATCATGCTTTGCGTTTTCCAGAAACGTCTAACCTACCATCGACCGTGAGTCACGCTGTATATTTATCAATTTGGCAAAAATTTCACAGCAGATCAAATCTGTAATGGAGGGCAAAGGTGATTCAGATCACTTAATGAATAGACATTGGGCATAACACTTTATACATTGCCTTGTAGGAGTAGGAAATAAGTTATTTAGGAATAATTAAGTTGCGTATCGTTATTTTTTGTGGTTTCTCTTCTGCCGCCTCCCTTATGGAATACATCCCTGGCTCTGAGTAGTAGGAAACTAGTGAGGAGAATTAGACCCCTTTAATATCATCAATCAATCCACATCATTTTGTCTTTCGTCGTTAGCAGCAATTCTTGATTAATCAATGAAGATATAACATTACATTCAAAAAGTTTCTGTCAATTTCCAGACCCCAGAACCCGAAATATGACTGGCTGATTGTAGATACATTGAAAGGAACTTTTACAGTTAAAGATAATCAACTCATAGATGCTGACACGGACCAACTTGAATATTTCAATTATACGTGTACAGCTAGCGATGACAACATGACTCACACGTCTGAACCGGTATTGGTGAGTACCTGAAATATTTTTTTTATATTTATCCATACATGAGAACCATACTCCAAAGAAGGTATGATCTGAACTTTATAAAACATCACACACCTCAGCAACTGCTTAGGTGTGTACTATTTTCTGGTTCGAAACAGTGTTCCAAACTTTTGAGAACCAGCCTTTTCAATTCTGGCAACATGATTGTATCAAGACATATTGGTGTACATTTAAACCCCCAACAAACTTATCTAAGGAGAAAGCGGATATTCATCTTTTTGGAAAAAATCAATGCCTGGCATTGAATTGAGCCTGGTTATTTTCACCCTAAATAGAAATCACTTCTAGATCCTCATTAAGATATGCAACCTCCAGATGTAGGTAAAGTTGTTCATCCGCCGATATCCTGGAATCCAAATGAAATGACAAGATATCTGACAATAAGGATCCCTGGATAACACTATTGTTGATGGTAAAATCATTCGAGAGATATCTATCAACGGCCACTTTCAGGGAACGTTCTTTCAGGAAGCTGGAGGGTCATACACAAAAATAATCCGACAAGCCATAGCATCAAAGTTTGACCAGAAATCTCTCATGCCACACACGGCCTTAGAAATATCAAGCGCAACAGCTCTTGACCCTCCATGTTTCTCGGTTGCGTTATTCCAAATATGGCTAACATACAATGGAAGGTCGCCTGTTGATCTTTGTTTCCGAAAGCCATATTGATGATCGCTCAAGATGTTAAAGCCTTCCAGATATTAAAGATTTTTCTTGACCTTTTTGGGAATAGGCTGAACGCGATCAATCTTCTAACAAGAAGAAAAAACCCCTCTCTTGTAAGGCAGGTTGAAAAGTCTGCAAAACATTGGTACGAGTTCATTTGGGCACGTTTTAAGTACGATGAGTGGCACTTCATCAGGACCAGGCGCCTTGTTGATATTAAACTGTTTCAAAATTTGCCTGAGTAGTCGTTATCGAAAAGTAATTTCAGGCATTGTGGATTCTAGTGTGGAAATAGTAAGTGGTGCCTTTCCAGCTGTTGCGAGCATCAACAAATCTAGTTTGGTTTTTGGCACTGGAATTTTTGCGCTACTGCCGGTAGGCGAGATTTTTGAAGGCGACAGCTTGCTCGCAATTTTTATTGAACCAAGGTTTGCCGTTAGAAGTTTCATTGAAAACGGGATATATGCATCCATGGATGATAAAATAACTTCCGTGGCTTCAGAAGCAGAGGTTGATTAATCTCTAAAGCTGAAACAAACATCTAGCCAATTTGAGATCTCAACTAAATGAGCGCATTGAAATTTCCTCAGACAGTCAAGATGTACTTGGGTCACTGATGAACTCAAAAGTGATATCGTGACTGGTCTGGAAACGTCATGAAACACTAAAAAAACTGGTGGACAATAATTGATTGACTCAACGAAAAAGCTAATGAGTATCCCAGATGAATACCACCAATACTACAGGGTGACAATTCGAAAACTCACAATGGCTATATGTGAGCAACGAAATAAAATATAAGAAATCGCTGAAAAAAACTTCCATAATAGAGACAGCGAAACAAAATGATGTAATAGATAATGTGTTTTCACTAATCACCTCGTCTCCAGCCACCCCAACTGTAAAGTCTTAAACGACAATCCCCTATTTGTGATAGCTTATCCAGAAGCTCCTAAGAAATGCTCTTCAGTGGTACCCTAGAAAGCTACAGTCAACGTAGTAGTTTTTGGTTTATTGAATAAAACACTATTTTATTTAAATGAAAATTTTATTTTCTACTATCAATTTGAGAAATATTCAAAATGATTTTCATTATTTTCAAGACAATAAAGTCTATTTCCAGACTTTCAACGTAAATTGGCAAATGTTTTTCTGGAAATAGCTAGGTATTCTTATCTTCGGTTGCTCTATCGAGCCAGGTTCCGTCTTCAAAAAAACAGAATTTTAGGTGGTCCCAAAGAAAGAAATCAAGAGGAGAATGGTCCGGGGATCTAGGAGGTCATTCAATAGATAGATAGAATAAATATCATCTAAGCATTGTCCAACTGAAACTACATAATGAGGAGGTACCCATCCTATTGAAAATGTAATAACTTTTCTTCCGAACATAAATTGCGGTGTATGTCTCTAATTCATGGACTATCCGAGGTTCAATATATCTTTCTAGCATGTGAGTATAGATTTCGCCATTTGAATGGCGAAATATATGCTCACATGGCCCTATAATTGCATTTCTCAATATACCAACCCAAACATTAACCGTCTCTATACATATAGTCGTGGGTTCTCGTCACTCCACTAACGACCGTTTTGTTCATTTGCGTGCCCATTTAAATAAAAAGTACACTCGTCACTAAAGCAAATATTTTTGATGAACCGAGGTTCTTGATAATTCTAGCTGTCATAATTTCACAAAATTCAATTCTTCTGTTGAAGTCATCGTCATCAATTTGTTGAAAGATGTGCATTTCATGTGGATGAAATTTATGTAATTTGAGTGCTGTCCTCACATATTCGCAAGATAATCCAGTTGCTGTAGCTGCCTGATGAGTCGATAAAATATGATCAATTACAAACTGTCCGAATACTTCAATTTGCGTCGCTTCGTTCAGTCATCTTGGTTGATCCTTTTTTTATTTGTGACAGTACCAGTTTCTTGAAATTTTGCTACGAATATTTTGTTGACGAATATACACGTCACTTAAACACTGATCTGCTCTAACATAATATGAAAATCATTTCCACACGTTCAGCTGTGTTGTACACAGCTACATCGAATGTAGCTTTGTAGGGTACTAATGAAGAGCATTTCTTGAGAGCTTTTAGATAAGGTATCACAAGTAGGGGGTTGCCATTTAAGAATATAAGGTTGAAGTGGGTGGGGGGCGAGAGGGTAAGTGGAATCAAGTCAGCTAGTTAGTTCATCATTTTATTTTCCCCTCCCTATTGTGCAAGTTGTTTTCAGCGATGTTTCATTTGGTTGCTCAGATATAGCATTTGTAAGTTTTCAAATTGTTACCCTGTTTGTTGGATCTGAACCAGTTATGACGGTACCCGATTCATCGGTATGTAACCAATAGAATACTACAGAAAATCATATTGTCGGGATATGTGACTTTAGAGAGGCAGCAGTATTATACAGAGAATTGAATGAAATGGACAAGTCGGGCGATTTCCAAACAGTAAAAAGACACATCAGATATTTGAGAAAGGTTCTAAGGAATTATTTTGTCACTCCCTGATGATATTTATGAATCCGTTCCCTAATATTTATTTTACAGATATGACCATGACGTCCTTTTTTCATGTTCAAAAAATAAAAAATGTGGAACACTGTAATATATTTCAGAAGAAAATGTAAGAAGTCTTGTCACCTATCATAACAAATCTTACCTATCATATCATATCTATCATTACCTATCATAACAAATTTTACTATAAATTTTGAATGCCGAACTGAGTCTGTTATTTTTCAGGTTGAATTCTACATTCTTGATAGAAATAACAAGATTCCTAATATAAATGAATTTGAAGAAATTCACCTTCTTGAAAAACCTGATGATAACCACGTAGTGGTAAAAATCAATACCACTGATGCCGATAGAGACAGTAAGTAATTTTTAATCATAGAACCTCTTGTCATTCCAGATGGTTTTGCATATTCAGTATTACCATCATGTTGAAGGGAAAATTTCTAGGATGCCGTAATGTTGTATTTAGCTTCGAAAAAACGTCAATTGAGGTTGGACCGTTAAAGGAGCACCATAATCCCCACTGTAATGTAGACTTAAATATTCCCAAAGATGTGTATCAATCTGACTATTCCGGTGATAATAGAGGTAGTCTTAAATAGTCTTAAATATCCAATCACTACGAAATAAAACTGATGAGTTATTTACTTATCTAGAAGACTCAAATTTTCCAAATCTTGTACTACTGAATGAACATTGGCTAAAACAGAATGAGTTAGTTTTTGTCCACAATTATGCTATATTATCTGAGTATTACAAAACCATCTCATCTCATGGTGGGACTATGAAATTAGTGAAAGATTCGGTGAGAAATGAATTAGGGTTTGAAAATTGTGATAAATACAACCATTTGCTTCTTGAACAAATGTTTGAGCTTTCTGTAGTACATTCAAAAAAGTTAAATACTGTAATGAATCTGAAGCCGGCCCTGACCGTTATCTCAGACATCAAACATATGACTCACCGCGAAAGGAATGCGATCGACGAATCGCCACGAAAATAATAGATAAGTACCGAAACCGCTAGAGGTACCTAGAACGTTCGTTACCAATATAAAAGGTCGAGTTCTCGCTCAGAGAGGGAGTCTGTATCTAGAAAATGAATCGTGCGTTTGAAAAAAAATTCTAACTGTGAAGATAAATTGAGCGTAGTATTGTATATAAATCAGTTGTGATAGTGAAATATTGTTTAAAATAAATTTGTTTAAGACAGTTAATTGTTCAATTCGTTACAATTAGTGATCAGAAGTGGATTTTTAAAATAAAATTGTGAGCACTTGGTGGACAATTACGGTGAAATTTATTATAAAACTTATTTGATCGCGCAGATAGACTGGTGATTCGTTGTGTTTCGCGACGTTGACAGTAACGGAAACATAAACTGATAGACCTTTCTCGCGAAAAATAAACTTGTGTGTCGCAAGAATTGGAGGAGAGAGAACTAGATTCTTCCGGAAAGAAATCAGTACTCCAGAAGAGACCGTGAGATAACTTGATTGAATCAGGAGAAGATCCCGAAACATATGTATTCGAAGTCTCTGGGGATGATTGGAGTTCAATAATGAGCAAACTCGATGGGCTTCAACAAAATTCGGTAAGCCTTGAAGAGAAACTTCAGGAAAATTCGGTAAGTGTAAAAGATAGACTTCAACAAAACTCGAAGTGCCTGGAGAAGCTTCTGGAAAACTCGAAGAGTTTGGAAGACAAGCTTCTGGAAAATTCGAAAAGTTTGAAAGATAAATTTTTAGAGAATTCGAATAGCTTGAAGGAAGAACTTCTAGAGAATGCAGAAGGCTTGCAGAAGGAGCTTTGTAGTGTGGCGAGCCTACTCGAAGAAAGGATAGAAACCATCGAGACAGAGATAGATAAAATCAGGAAGGAAATGAACACAGAAGTAGAGGAAATCAAAGGCGGAGTTCGGGCAGAAATCAACGAGATAAAGGAAACAATTAGCAAGTTGCAAAACCAAATCGTTAATTCTGCCCACCCCACAGAAACGGTTACTGAAAACTCAATTCCGGAACTGAAAGATGTCAAACTCAGTTCTGAACCAGGAAAGCTCTCTCTGAAGCCGCCCCAGTTCGACGGAAAAACTCCTTGGGCAAATTACCGCCGACAATTCGAAGCTGCGGCCAGAGCGAATGGATGGAATGCAGAAGAAAAGGCGGTAGCATTAACATTGGCGTTGCGTGGAGAAGCAACGAATACTCTGCAAAAATTCACGGCCCAAGAACAGGAAGACTATGATCAACTCATAAAGCATCTTGAGCTGCGGTATGGACAGGCCCACCTAGAACATGTTTACCATTCACAGCTGAAGAACCGCTGACAGAAATCAGGAGAATCCCTACAGGAGTTTGAAGCCGACATAGCTCGATTGGTAAGTCTGGCATATCCTGCTACACCCGAAAATGTAATGGAGCGGTTAGCAGTTCAGGCATTATTGGATGGACTTCGCGACCAAGAAACGAGGCAAGCGTTGACGCTAGCTCGTCCCAAACATCTTGTGGCAAGATCTCTGGAGTTTGAGGCTATTGTAATGTTCGAGCCCAAGGTACACGATGAGAAAGTTGGACGAGGAATCGCACTGGAAATGACCCTGTTGCATGTTGATAAAGTTGTGCCGGTCAGGGTCATGAATGTCAACTACTTTCCCGTGACCTTGAAGGAAGGAACAATGCTGGGGCACTGTTCGTCCATTCCCTCGGTGATACGGAGTGTACGCAGTTCGGTTAGCCAAGCCAACAACTTGCCTGAAGAGTTGGAGAAGTTGATTGACATTTCCTCCAAGGACATACCACCAACTCACCGATCAAAACTGAGGGAGTTAGTCAAGAAGTACCAGGAAATCTTCGACATTGAAGAAGGAAAAGGCGACAGAACGAATGTGGTTCAGCATAAAATCGATACTGGAAATGCCCGACCAATCCGGCAATTAGCTAGAAGACTCCCTCTTGCCAAGAGAGAGGAGGCAGAGAAGAAAGTCAGCGATTTGGGAGAAGAAGGAGTCATCGAACCTTCTGACAGCCCCTGGTCTTCCTTAGTCATGTTAGTGAAGAAGAAGGACGGATCGACAAGGTTCTGCGTGGATTATCGCCAACTCAATCACGTGACGAAGAAAGACAGCTACCCTCTTCCAAGAATCGACGGACACCCTAGACACGCTAGCCAACTCCACAATTTTCTTGACTTTGGATCTGAAGAGTGGATATTGGCAAGTTGAATTGGCCCCAGAAGATCGAGAAAAGACTGCTTTCACCATCGGCTCAGGATTGTGGCTATTCACGGTTATGCCATTCGGGCTTTTAATGCTCCAGCATTACAGTGTATCTCGACGACATAATCGTGGTCGGAAAATCGTTCGACGATCACTTGAAAAATCTGGAGGAGGTATTCATGCATCTGAGGAGTTCTGGATTGAAACTCAGTCCCAAGAAATGCCATCTGTTCCAGAAAGAAGTCCGTTACCTTGGACACGTTGTCTCTGGGGAAGGAGTGGCAGTGAACGAACAAAATATCAAAGCAGTTAAGGATTGGCCCATTCCAAAAGACATACATCAGCTTCGGAGCTTCCTTGGTTTATGCACCTGCTACCGCTGGTACGTGCTGGGGTTTGCTAACATCTCCAAACCATTGACCCGACTCACAGAAGGGCAAATCCAGTTCCAGTGGTCTGAGGAATGCCAAGACTCATTCAAGAAGTTGAAAAGAGCTTTGATCAACGCTCCTGTTTTGAGCTATCCCCTATCGGACGGAAAGTTCATTTTAGATACGGACGCCAGCAACGTGGGAGCAGTCCTTTCTCAGATACAGAATGGACAGGAGAAAGTTATTGGCTACTTCAGCAAAACGCTCAGTAAACCAAGCGAGAGCTATTGGCCGTTGTCAAAAGTGTAGAGCATTTCTACAAATACGTGTATGGAAGAAGATTTCTGTTGAGAACGGACCATGCAGCTCTCAAATGGCTTTTGCAGTTCAAAAATCCAGAGGGCCAAGTAGCGCGCTGGATTGAGAGACTTCAAGAATTCGACTTCGAAATAGAACATCGAGCTGGGGCTAGCCATAAAAACACAGATGCCCTGTCACAGAGACCATGCCCCGATGACTGCTCACATTGCTGACGAGCAGAAGAGAAGGAAGCAGCAATTTGTAGAACTAGAGCTGTAGACGACAACTGGGAAGATAATAAGATCAGGGAAGACCAAGAGGAAGACCCAGATCTTAGTTTATTTATCGGATGGAAGAAAAGTAATCGAAGACCATCGTGGCAGGAGGTAGCAGGTTATTCGCCAGTGATCAAGTCCTACTGGGCACAATGGAACTCCCTTACTTTGGAAAACGGGGTTCTGAAGCGGGTGTTGGAGTCTGAAGACGGTGGAGACGAAAGGCGCCAGACAGTGGTACCCAGGAACAGACAACGAGAGGTGCTTGAAGAAATCCATGATCTAGTCACTGGAGGACATCTGGGAGTAACGAAGACTCCCCAGAAAGTAAGACAACGGTTTTACTGGGTTGTCAAGCCGACGTAAAGGACTGGTGTAGAAAGTGTACTGTCAGTAACGGACCTAGGATACGACCGAAAGCCCCAATGCGCCAGTATAACGTTGGTAGTCCTTTTGAAAGAATCGCCATCGACATCGCCGGCCCGTTCCCAGAGTCCGGCCATGGAAACAAATACATCCTAGTAGCCATGGACTACTTCAGCAAATTTGCAGAAGCCTATGCCCTGCCCAACCAGGAAGCCTTTACCGTCGCTGACGTCCTGGTAAAGGAATGGATATGTCGATTCGGTGTCCCATTGGAGCTGCAATCGGACCAGGGCAGAAATTTTGAGTCCAACCTGTTCCAAGAAATATGTAAACTGTTGAACATTCGAAAGACCAGAACCACAGCCTTAAATCCACAGTCCGATGGAATGGTGGAACGAATGAATAAGACCATAAACTGTCACTTGTCCAAGGTAGTCTCTGACCATCCAAGAGACTGGGACCAATACCTCCACCTGTTTCTGCTAGCTTATCGTTCAGCAGTGCACGAGTCAACCGGCCAAACCCCTGCCAGTATTATAATGGGCCGAGAGCTGCGGCTTCCTTGCGACCTGAAATTTGGAACGCCGCTAGAACAAGACACTGCGGGGGAATACTATGTCTGCAAGCTTCGGCAGGGAATAGACGACATGCATGAACGAGTCCGTCTGAACATCCGGAGTGCCAGCGATAGAATGAAGAAGACCTATGACATCAAGGCGAATGCTGGAGAATTCGAAACCGGTGACAGAGTTTGGCTGTACAACCCTAAGCGACGCCGTGGTTTATCACCGAAGTTGCGGAACTCGTGGGAAGGTCCGTACAAAATCATG